GCCTGAGAGAGGACACAGGGACCATCCTCAATCAGTGAATTTCTCTTTATGACACTAAGTATGTTGCTTAGATGGAATAAAACTCACATTTGACTCAGAAATCCTCAATGTGACAACAGCAACAATGACAATAGAACCATTTTGCTTAAAGTATTCCCTGCATAGCAGACATTGTACTAAGTGATGCAGAGGGCCCCTGCTGAATACAGGTCACCATAAGCATCACAGATCATTGTGGGAACAAAGAAAAGATTCAGCACAGCAGCTAAGGCAAAGAATTTGCCAAGTAATTAACATATCAAATATCAATTTGGTTCACAATAACATATCAAAATGGCTTTTGAAAATGTTTAAAAAGTTGAAAAAGGAGCATTCAAATCTAAATAGTCTTGTTACCAACACTACTTTGCATAAATGATTGCTTGCAAAATGCCTCAGTCATGGATTTTATGTTCAACAGAAACAGGATGCTATAGTAGGGTTGTGGAGGTGCCATCCACTCTGCACTTGATTTTATTTTACCATTTGCAAAGTCAGAGTGCCACTTTGTGGAGTATTGTGAAATTTAGGGCTGCTTCCATTCACCAGTCAGTTTCAAAAAAGTATGTAATTATGTGCAGGCACATATAAAATGAAAGCACCTCAAGATGTGTGCATTGTACATGCAAACAAATAACCTAATACCCCAAATTATTTGTTCATATTACCTGATATGTGTACCTAGTTGTATTAACTTTTGAAAACCCCTCATATCTCTGAAATGATATTGACACTGTATTTTATGCTTGTACAATATTAATAAGACAAAGTGTTAGGGTAAAACACAAAATTAAACTATCATAAAATAATAAAATAACCAAAATTTCACATTTACATTATCTTGAACAGCAAATAAAACAGTTCAGTCCTTGAACATTATAGTAAAACCAAGGTAATTAAAAAACAGAAAAAAAAGTGATTATGAGTTACATGTGTATGTTGTAGCTGACAATGTGCAGCTGAAATTTCCATGACCCTTGCAAAACACACATGAACTCTAATAGATTTTATATCATTGAATTAAAATCTTGCCAAATCCTTGGCATCAACCCTATTAAATCCTACATGAGTGTAAAATAAAGTAAAGGCTTCCACACCAGAAGAAGCTTCATTAGAATCCAGGAAAAGGGAAAGGAGCCCTCCTCTTGAGCAGTTGTATAGGTTCAATGTTAAGAATCACTTGGGAGAAACTATGCAAGGATGACAGCATTCCCTCTGGTGCGGTGGCATGTTCCTTAGCAACATGGAAGAACACCTCTCCTCTAAGGAACTCTGCCAAACCACACATATTCACAGCATAATTCAGACACTGGGTTCCAAATAAAGCTAGGGATACTTACATCCCTAATAATAGTAAACCATTTGGCTTTTTCCAATTTATTACACATTTTTTTTGTAGAATCAGAATAATTTCTCAAGGTGGTTTCAGGCATGCACAGTATATGTCCAAATGAACCAAGGCATAATTTTCACAAGATCTGATACCAGAGAGCAGGTATTTGGATTTTCTTTAGAGCATGTATCTATCTAGAGGACTCAAAGAGAACATAAGAAACGATTAAATGCTGGTGTCAGAATGTTATTATTCATTGTCACTTTCTGAATGGCAGATCATCAGAAGAAACTGAGGGACTCTCAAAAGAAAACCTTTACAAAAGATGGTATCTTCATTTCACCATTTGTTCTGAGAAATATGTTCCCACGTTCCACTTCAATAGAATGGTGACATGGCATGGTATTGTATTGTAACATTTCTACTTTAGCCTTCCCTGTGAGTGATAAAATATGACAGTGTGCACTGATATTTTAATTCATTTGGTGAAATGGTAAAATGAGCACATTTTTAGAATTGCCTTATTATGAAAATGATATTAGATGTATCTTTTGAAGTGCAGTTTGTGATTCTCTACTGATTTCCATTAGATGTCATACCACTTGCAAATAAGCTAGTTTATTTTTTGCAAATCATACAAATGAGAAACTTTTTGTTGTTGTTGTTTTCAACAGCTTGTTTTTCTTAAATAAGAAATGAATTTTTTTAAAAATTGGGAATAAACCCTTACTATCCATTACAAATTCTAGATAGCCCTGAATTGATTTATACAACTCATCACCCAAGACTTGTTAAAGAACATAGAAAGTATATTTCTAAAGTAGAAAGCATTCAGGGAGCACATTACAGATTATTTGATTAATTCTTAATAAAATATGTTAATTTATAAGCTTAAATGTTCCATTTTCTAGTAAGCAAGGAGGACAAACAAATAGAATATTCAAGTTAGTACTTTTTGATTTCTATTATTATAATACTGTAACCTATTAAAATTCTTTTTCAACTTTCACTTTTTTTGGTCACACCTAAGATATATAAGCAAACTATTTTGTGGCAAAGATCAACTTACCAGCAGATGGAAACTTGTATTTTCAATTTATTTTTATTTTTTAAATTGACACATGAAATTTTATATTTTTGTATGTTATGCTACAACTACCCATCTTCATGTCAAAAAGCTTAAATCAAACATTTTAATAAAAAGTGCTGTTCAAATGCAGGATAATTATTTATTATTTTTTTATGTAATATTTATGATAGTTTTGTTTTTTTCTATAATTTAAAATGACAAAATATAGGGGCTGGGGTTGTGGCTCAGAGGTAGAGCGCTTGCCAAACATGCGTGACCACTGGGTTCGATCCTCAGCACTACATAAAAATAAAATAAAGGTATTGTTTCCACCTACAACTAAAAAATAAATGTTTAAATAATAAATAAATAAAATGACAAAATATAAGAACATAAGATTAATTAGGAAACAATGATATTGGTTCTGTAGATATAAAGTAACTCTACATTTAACAGCAATGCCATGTTACATGTTTAAAAAAACCCTCAGCTGTATTATATCACATAACATGATTTAAAGTTATTATTGGCAGTTTATAGACATTTAATGCTTACATTTGATGTACTATAAATACCTGGATATAAGATCACACACTTTATATTGAATTATTTAGAATTAAAATTAATGGTTAATTTACCAGAAAAAAACTCTTGTTCTTTTGTTGTAGATATGTATCTAGAGAATTTTCACATTTTCTTTATGTGATGAAAGACCACATATCATATGATGTCTGTCTCCACCTTGTGGTTATTATAAATATTTCCACGTTCTGATTTTGCTCTACTCCTGGACATGAAATGGAATGGCCATGGAAAATGTCATTGCTAGTCTATTTTTGGATTTTTTATTATAACCTATAGTATCAAGTTGTTTAAATGGACACATAGAAGTCCAATCAGCATATTCACATATTTATTTGTAAGACTGTTAGTTTCTCCTAGAAATTCAAGATGCTAGTACTTCTTGTTATATGTTACAGAAACTTTCTAGGAAGGTCATGGAATGAGGAAAAATAATTTTTCTATGAGAAAATATCTTTTCATTTCTCCCCCAGAAAAACTGTACTTCTTCTGTAATATTTCTCAGAATCTTAAACCAAAAGCTTTATTCTGTGTCTTAAAGGCAAGACCCAAACGTCTATGCTATTTTATTTTTTTTATCCAAGAGCTGGTGATATTGCAGAGATCAGGAGACAATGCTCTGCTCTGAAGTATTTACAGTCTGCCTAATTATGTTTTAGTTGGAGGATAAGATAAACACTGCACATATGGTGCAATGCTACATTGTGAACAACCAGAGAAATGAAAAGTTGTGCTGCAATTGTGTGCAATAAAATAAAAATGCATTCTGCTGTCATATATACCTACTTATAATAAATAAATAAATAAATATTTTTAAAAAGGGGTATCTGGTACATAGATCCTGTCAATTTTCATTCGAATAAGAGAAAATTCTCTTATTATTCACCTATCTGAAGAAATTTATAATTTCTAAACAGTGCAAAAGATTTGCTATTTGGTTGAATTATTCAAAGCAAATTTGCCATGTGTTCTTCTAATTAAACATATCATTTATTTTTTAATTTTATGTGCTGTTCCACGTAGGACCCAAAACCAAAAAAAGAAGTTTAAACTTCCATTGGTCCAAAAACACTGTTCTGAAATCCAACAGAACATCCTGGTCATTCCAGCACTCACTCACATTACCACAGTACAGGTTCCTAATTTCCTTGTGATTCAGATGGAACTTTCCTCTATCAAATCACTATCACTTCCTCTTCCACAATGGCAGCATCAATCCAACCCTTCTTTAAACGCACACTTTGAAGATCACAGGGAACTGGGTGACATATAGATGATTTATAAATAATCTTTATTTATGTCTGAATAAGAGAAAGCTTATTATTATTATTATTATTATTATTATTATTATTATTAATAATCTATATCCACCCAGAGAGATAGCCTTTAACATAGAATTCCACTGTCATTTTTTTCATAAAGATTTTATGAGTTGATAATTCAAGAAACAATAAACATGAATAAGTTGGGGAAAACTGAGGTAACTTTATTCTGCTTCTTTGAAAAGTACAGACCTATACTTTCAAAAGTACAGACCTATCATAATTATATCTCAATACATAAGATGTTCAAACTTTAGCTGCCCACTTATAGCACTTATATAAACTGAAACCAAAAATTTGAATAAAATATAGCTTTATAACTTCAGGATGAATTTTCATAGAACTTGAAAGACATAAAAAATGCTTTTTTATGCATCTGGGAGGAGATATTCTTCTGAAACAGATTTTATTCTCAGGTATCTAATTAACCACTTTAAAATGAACAAGTTCATTCCATAATATACTTCTCAGATAAGAAAAGCCTTGAAGAAAACTGAAATTCAGGAGGGCTATTTCGAGTTAGGAAATATAAGATAACTCCACTGATTGTATTTCCAATCCAATGGCTATATCACTCCTCAAATGTTAAATTTAGTGGGTTAACTCATGAGTTGTGTAGACTGGGTCCTTGATGGCAAACCTGATGAACACTTACCTTTTTCATTTCCATTTGCATAATTTGGAGGCTTGTTTTTGTCAATGCTGTTAAAGCTCTGACTTCTTCTATTTAAATTGGAGGCTCCCTGGACTTTGCTGCTGCTGCCTGCAGCTGGCACCCTAGAGGGTCCTGGAAGCCTGAAATAGCAGAAGAAAAATTACATCACAACCCGCATTTCAAAAAATAAGGAGCATGAGATTCTGAGCAGGGAAGAGTTAATGGAAAAAATACAGTTCAGGGTTTTCTAAAATCGAGTTTGCAGAAAATGGTGGTTTAAGTGACAAATAGCTAAAACAGAGTCAGAAATTATCAGACAAATCTTGTTTCACTTTTCAATAAGCATGCCCCCAAAGACCAGTAATAATGTAGAACAGTTAAAATAAGGTGACCTTTCACTAAAATATTCAAACTTACTCCATTCTTGATGAATAAAATTTTGCCTTCCAAGTACTTAAATAATTATAGGAAAAGTAAGGGAAATGGTAACACTTCACTTTTAGACTCTCGGCATATTAATCAGCTATTTGCAGCTGTTTAACTTATTCTTTTAATACATGTAGTATTTGTTTATCTCAGGTAGCTGTATTCCAAGTCTTGTAAATTAGTAACAAGAGGAAAGTAACTGTACAAATGGCAAACAGGAATTGTGTTTTGACTATCTAAACTAGTTAGCTATGCTATTCTAAGTATGGTGCCAGTATTAAGGTCATGGGTTCAATTATATTTGACTGGGCTGCCTCACAAAAAAGGCTTTCATTCACTTGTCAAAAATACACAACTAGGCTTTAGCTCCTGATCATACAGGAGATGTGACCAAAAAAGATTCAGGTCTAGGAAGGAAATCAATATTAGGAGGAAAATGACAGCTTAGAATAGCTTTATGACAGCAGGCTGAGCTACTCTTTGTATGTGAAAAAACAAGATGTGAAAAAATACACATGATCTATCTTATAATCAAAGGCAGTTTGACAAGAGGTTGTGACCTACCTATTGTATTTGAACTATAATTAAATATAAGTTGAGATAATTTATTTCACTGTTTTTCCCCTTTAGAACTCCAACTCTTGATTATTTCATAAACTGTGCCTAATTTTTATTGTATATTACTATCATATATTTCACATTTATATTAAACCCAATCCATATAAATTAAAAACTAGAAATTAAGAACTAGTGTTGACACTAAGGTCTATTTAGAAAACATTATTGAAGGTTCCAGACATCTCTGCTTGTAGGTGCTGCCACCTTGTGAACATGACTATGTACTACTCTGAAAATTCCTATTAGAAAAGAAAAAGAACAAACTACCCAGAATCTATCGATACAATACAAAATTTTAACAGTTTTCTTTTATAAAATCTTAAAAATAACAGAGCATTTTATCTGTTATATGTCAAAATTTCTAAATCCAGTTATTACAATACTTAAATTTTAATTCATCTTTATAATACTACCTATTTTATTTCTGTAGGTTATTTAAGAAATAAAATCCTTACAAAGTATAAATACTTTTATAGTACTTTCAGTAACTGTAAAATGAAATGAACATCAGAAAAACGCAAATAGTAGCTTCAAAAAGTGTTCATTTCTTGGAACAGTCAATAGTTTCAAAATTTTAAGTGTTTTACAGTTTAGATACAATGGCTAATAAATATTCCCTTTAGCTATTTTGCTAATAAGAAGTTATGTCATATACAGATTAGAATCTTTTCCAAATGATTCCAGCATTAAACTTTTGCTCAAATAGATCTACAAGGGTTTGCAAGTGTAGCACACTAACTGCAGACATGAGGAGTATCAGTGACTTCACTCTGCAGATGGGACTAAACTAATTAATTTGGCCAAACGTCCCAATCATAATAAATTTGTGAACAAGTCTTGTAGATATAACCATAATCTTAGAAAGCCTACTCCAAACTTACATGTGTAAACAGATTTAGTCACAAAATTTGCCCTTCTTGCAATGAAACTTGACCCATTTGTAGAAAGCAATTAAAATGCCTTTTAATCTTTACGGTGACCCATGAAGCCAAGTGCTTTTCAGTCCTCAGAAGAACAAATTAAAACAAATTAAAAAGTACATTTGCTCTTCTCATTACCCTAATTTGACAGGCAGCCAGAGCCTCCGGATCATTCATCAAAGTAATAAAAAGGGAAATGAGATGAAGAAAAAAAAGGGGGGGGGAGAGAGAGAAAGGACGTGAAAGAGAAATGTTCTATTAAAACAAAGTACTTAAAATACATCTTACATGTCCAAGTGTTAGAGGGGATAATAAAAATGCCCATTGTACATGGCAGGTCACTGGTTTCTTGCACATCGTAATTTATATCATTCATTGTAAGTTTTAATTAAATACTTCTTAGGATTTGTCTCTCCAGAATCATTAAACTACTGTGGAAAAGGATATAGAAAACCAAGGCAAAGGAGAAAGCACCTACCTCAGGTCAAGGCATCAGAAGTCCTTGAGGTCAAGTATCATATACTAGGATTCGGTAATGAAGCAGGGGCAAATATACCACCCTGGCCACTTCCCCGGGACTGAGGAGTTGCACAAACTCTTAGACTACTCAGAGGTACAAAATACTTTAGCTATGGCTTGACTCAGCGGCTTCATACTACCATCACACCTTCAGCAACATAATATTTTCTTTTAAAACAAACTTTTCCAACACATTCTTATGTATCGTCATTTTCCAAACAGTACATATTATACTGCCATTTATTATTATGTGTCTCTAAAATACACACATCATAAAGAAGCAAAAAATTAAACTATTATGGATAGAGGAACAATCTGATGCTAACTTCCCCACCCAAATCTGCCAGTGTTTCTCAGTTCCACTTCAAAATGTGCAATAATTAATACACACCCATCTCAACAAGCAACTGCAATCTGGTATAATTTCCAGATTATTGTCACCCAGAAAGAATCATAGGGGCCAACAAAGAAATTATTTTCTTGACTTACTTAAGCCTAGAACCTAGACTTCATTGCAATTTATAGTGTATAACAAAAATGAAATAAAAGAAGCCAAAACCATTTAATCTCTAACAACACATGCTTGCTCCTGAGACTATATGGTAATCCATTCAGAATAATTCAGTGCTCTAAACTTTGCATTTGGAACTGTGTTAATGTTTAAAAAAATTTATGGTGATAGGACAAAATATCACTGGGTATTTACTTGAATATCACTAACAAGCAATAAATTAGAGATATTAACTGACCTAGTAGGCTTTTTTTGACTGGTTGCAATTCCACTGTGATTAGACTGAGTTGCATATCTGGCTGTCAGACTGTATGAGGAGAAACAGAGAAATTGAATTAAAGAGATTCTTTGAACATGGAAAGAAAGCACAAACTTATAAGAAAACTATGAGTTCATGAAATGCAATTGGAACACATATGAACATGTATAAAGAATAACTTAATAAGAAAACTATGGTAATGCAACATAACCACCATGACCTTGGACTATGAATGCACTATGAAACAATGCAGTACCACCCTGGTAATAAGATGTGGCATTATTAACTTTAAAATTATGATTGTGTGATAGTATTAATATTCTTAATAGTATTATTGCATCTTATGAAATCCAAGCGGGTTTGTGTGTAATAAGTTATTGTTTCTACTAGACAAAAATTTTTAAAGGAAATGTACAGTAAAAGATTTTTCTCTAAAGAAGGGTCTACCCAAAGTTGAAATGTAAGTGTATTTAAATTCTTGAAAAACAAGCTTAACAAATACTGGTAACAATTTTGGGCACTCTTGAGTTGCCTTTCTTAATGATTTTTTAAATCAAAATCTTCATTCAAAGACATATAAGAAAGAATTAAGTAAGCCAAGTTTGGAAGAATAACACTGCATAAAACAAATGCAAATTTGTATATTAAGTTAAACTGTCTTTTAGTTATTAAGAGTTGATGAATTAGTGTTCAAAGAAACAGGACCAACACTGGGGTGTTGGCATCAGGGTGACAAGGGTCACATGGAGCCTTACTGCAATTGATCCAGTTACTTTGTTGCCCAGCAGCGAGGAGCGCTTTAGTGAAGAAAAAGATGGCTTATGATCAGGATCTGTTTCCTAAATTAATTATTAGTCCTCTGAGCAAGTCTCGGGTAACACAGACGTCCTCATAGAGGAAGTCTTCGGGTACATTGAACACTTATTTTTTACATTTGTCATGTTATATACATGGTTATTTGCATAGAATACATTCTGTATTTTAACCACACTGAACATCTAGTTATAACTGGCCAAACTATCTCAGTAATAGTAACACCAGAATAAGTGAAAAGTAAAAAATAAACTGTCTCACCATGTCTTCATACATGTACTTAGAGTAATGATGTCCATCCCATTTACCTGCCTTTCCCACCCCCATGCCTCCTCCCTTCCCCTCCCTCCCCCTTTACCCTATCTAGAGATCATCTATTCCTCCCATACTTCCCCCTACCCTTGCCATTCCCCATTATGAATCAGCATCTTTATATCAGAGAAAACATTCAGCATTTGGTTTTGGGGGATTGGCTTATTAGCATTATATTCTCCAACTCCATCCATTTACCTGCAAATGCTATGATTTTATTCTCTTTTAATGCCATGTAATATTCCATTGTGTATATACACCACATTTTCTTTATTCATTCATCTATTGAAGAACATATAGGTTGGTTCCACAGTTTAGCTATTAAGAATTGTTGAAAAAAATGTTCTATATATGTGTAATATGAATTGAAATGCATTCTGCTGTCATATATAACAAATTAGAATAAATTATAAAAAAAGAAAAAAAAGAAACTATACCAATGCAATGAGATATTCATTTAAAATTTAAAGTTTTTTTTTTTAAAGGGACTCAAAGAGAGGAAAGATTGTTTGTGAATTTCTCAGTTAACTTGTCAGTCCAAGAATAAGAGAACCATTTAAATTTTAGTGACTACTTCTTGTCTTATACTTTCCAATTTGAACACAAATGTATGTAATAAAGATAATAATCAAGCAGCATATATCCTTTCAGGGAATACTACCTCATTGATTTTGCTCCATGTTTTTAAGGAAATACCATAATATAATTCCTAGTATAGAACTAGAAATAAAGGAAAAACCAAGTCCAGCGAGGTTAAGTAATTTAGTCAAAATCATCTTGATTTTATTGCCCATATGTGTTTTCTGATTTCTTTTGAAAGAATACAGTATTTGCTGCCTTATTTTTGTTCTAAACAAGTTCTCTTACTTTAATTTCTTGACATTTAGCTTCTTTCCTGCTTCTCTTACATTTCTGAAGAATACCAGAGTTTTTCCAAATTTATGTTTGAATTTGACCACGTGACTCTTCTATTTTTGGAATCTCTCCTTTTCATAGACAGCCAAGCTCACTTGATTGTCTATTACATTCTTGTGTCCTTTTTTCCTTCAACAAATCTTAGTTTCCCAACTCTTTTCCTCCCAAAGGGTATTCCTTCTTTCCTCAAACACTTTTATGCATTCTTTCACTTAGTAATTTATTTCCTACAAAGATCTGAACTAAAATGTTACCCTTTAGCATTAACCTTATCTACATACTTCCAGCCACAAATATCAACTACATAAAAGACGTGTTCATGATCTTTAAACTCACACCAAAAATCACTACTTGCTTTCTTTTATCTTCTGTTCCTTCCATTAATAACTTTATTTCTATTCATGGAAGCAAAATTTCTTCAGTGATATGGACTTGAAATCACAAGAACCGACTTTTTCCTTTTCCTTTTCAATTGTTACAGATGAGCAATCAATATCTAGTCATGCTGTTTGGACCGCTACAAATCCTTTTGCATCTTTGTTCTCTTTCAATTCCCAGGTTTATCACACTAACTCAAGCTTTCAACACTTTCCACAGTGCCTCTTAAATAGAGGAGTTGAAAGGTTTCACTCTTACCAAACTCATTATATAGAATGGGACAATTAGAACCACAAAGGAACACAAACTGTATCTAGTCTTATCTCCTGATGTTATAGGTGAAGGAAGAAAAGTGCAAAGAGATAAACCATAAATTTCCTAAAACATAAAGAAGATTGGTGGCACTGAAAAGTATATTCTAGCATTCAAAGAGTTCTACAGTGCTTCTTTACATTTGCACCCTATGTTCTACCTTTGTCACCTCATGCATTTTGTACTCAAGAGTAGTTCTTAACCATCACCCAACCATTAATTGTGCTTCTCTTATTTGGGCTGCCTTACTCTCACTGTCATTCCCACGGGAATACTTCCTAATTGTGTCCATCATAACTAAATTCTTCTAAAGGACCACTGTAAATAACACCAAGTACACCTAACATGCCATCATCTCCAAGATACACATGGAATCTCTGCATTTTTTTTACCTTCTCATGTAATAAAAACATAATTTTAGTTATTTAAAATTGTAAACATAACAAGGTTTCTTCAAGGTAATCTCTTTGCTTGAATTATTACAAAGGATAAAATAGTTTATCAGAAAAGTCCCACAAAATGCACTTGAAACATATTCAAGTTGATGAAAAGAGAAATGAAGGTTTTGTGATTTTTTTATAAGGAAATAAAATTCCTGGTATTTTTTTTTTATTTAATAAGATGTGCCAAGACTATCATAGACATTGAGAGCTTGCCTGCTTTCTCTTATTAAAAGAGAAAACAGTACATTTTGGAAAAAAATGTGACCTACATCACCAAACCAATTGCATAATTTTAATAATAGGGAGTATATTGTTAACACAATTTTTATTTGGACAACAGAGATGCATTTTGAAAGACTTGTATTCCAGGAATACAGTTAAGAGAAAAAGAAGACGACTGTGGAATTCTCAACATGACACATGACACAATTCATTTAACAAACAAATTGCACAAAAAAATATTTGGAGGGAAAACCTATATAGTCTTAAAATAACTTAAAAGTAATTGTCATGTATGGATCCTTATTTAGATCCTGACTCAATCAAACATTAAACTGTTGTTAAACATTTAACTGTTAAACCTTTATGAAAAGTTGATAATAAATGAAGCAAGGTAGGTGGTAAGTCGGTAAAAGGTCGAATCTGATGGGGGGGGGGCGTCCATGAGGAATTTAAATGGAATTTAGTTTGTTAAAAAATAAAAAGTAATATAAGAAGTATTTGCAGTATTACTAACTTGAAGAAATTAATTACTCTATCAAGTATAACTGCCACAGTACTTAGCGTATTGAAAAGAATTTATATTTATCATAGTAGGTCTACTGATAGGGTAACATTGCCATTCCATGAGTCTATTTATTATGTTTAAATTTTAACACATAGTATATATTATGTTATTTACTATTTAATCAACTAATCTATTGAAAATCAATTCTAATTTTTATTTTATTTTTTATGATTCTAACTTTTGAAAGAAATGTTGTACCAATCTGAATTTCTAATAGCTGCCTGGTCAAAAATGCCTGGCCTGTAACTACATCAGTCTCTACGACTCACAGATGTTTATACACCAAGAAGCATAGTCTCCTTGTAAGAACTTTTTAATTTCTTTTTTATTTAGCTGGCTTTTTATCATCTATCAAGAGCCCAGTGGGTAAAATACAAGGTTGGCATACGCCTCACATTTCTTTAATACTTCATAATGTTAAAGGCACTGCATTTGTGTGAATATACATATGTACATACATATGTGCATATGTAGATGTATATTTTAATTACAAACGTGCTGCTTGCTATTTTAATTATAGTTTTGCTGCCAACTTGCTTTCATGCCTTGCTACCTCTCTCTGTTTCTTTGTTCTCATTTGAAAATAAGATAGGAATAAAATTTAGGAGGCTTAGCTGTGCATTGGTAATCAGTTATTTAAAAATTAAGTTATTACTTTAGCCTTAAAATCATTTAGAAATCACAAATCCTCAATCTCCACATTCCTCTTTATTTCTCTGCATTTTTTTTCTTTTCAGCTGCTTACATATTCAATCTTTCCCCATCTTGCTCATAACTCTTTTGATTGTCTCTCAAAATCTTTGTTTCTCAATAGCTCCTATTTTTTCTTATAAAAATCATTTTGCTTTATGTCTCTCTTCCTAGACAGCAGGAAAGCATTTTTCCTCACAGGGTCTATAATACTACTTCCCAACCTCTAAGTTTATCACAGATTAGTGATGAGGCAGGTGCACAGGCACAGCAAACTTGCAGTGTATTAATAACAGACACAGGGGACATGTGAACACAGCTCCAAGACAAAGTGGGATAAGTGAATGGTCAGAAGACCAAGGAAGTGGGAGTTTTCAGATACCCGAAGTGAAGATTGC